GATAGATAGATAGATAGATAGATAGATAGATAGATAGATAGATAGATGATAGAAACATACATACATAGTAAGAAGAAAGAGAGAAAGAGAGAAAGAAAGAAAGAAGGGAAGGAAGGAAGGAAGGAAGGAAGGAAGGAAGGAAGGAAGGAAGGAAGGAAGGAAGGAAGGGCAGGTGGGGACTTGGACAAATACCTTAATAGGTAAAGTGCCTGCCACACAAGCATAAGGACCTGAGTTCAGATGCATAGCACCTATGTAAAAGCTAGGTATCGTAGCATGTGTTTGTAACCTTTGTACTGGGGTGGCTCTCTAGATCTCATTTGCTAGCTTTGAGGTCTATTTCTCCTCTTTCAAATCGTCTGGATTGTTAACTTTAAAAAGAAAAGATGTTTAATTGAGTGCTAAGATTGTGAATTTCTGGCCTGTGAATAAGGACTGTCTCTAGGTTCTACAGTACCAAGATTTCATTGAAACAATTTTTAATTTTCTGTAGGTATTTTGAGTCTAACTTGATTTCTGATGAACAAAAAGGATTTAGATGATAAGGTATCTGCCACTTTTGCCCCAGATGGGAATGGTGGAGCATGCATGTAATTCTGCCACTTGGGAGGCAGGAGAGAAGATCAGGAGTCAGTGGCCAGTCTTGGCAACAAAGCGATTTTTTTTAGGCCAGCCTGAGCTGCATGAGATACTGTCTCAAAGATAGATAGATAGATAGATAGATAGATAGATAGATAGATAGATAGGAAGAAGAAATAAAAAGAAAGAGAAAGAAAGAAAGAAAGAAAGAAAGAAAGAAAGAAAGAGGGAGGGAGGGAGGGAGGGAGGGAGGAAGGAAGGAAGGAAGGAAGGAAGGAAGGAAGGAAGGAAGGAAGGAAGGGCCTGGACAAATAACTTAATAGGTAAAGTGCCTGCCACACAAGCATAAGGACCTGAGTTCAGATGCATAGCACCTATGTAAAAGCTAGGTATGGTAGCATGTGTTTGTAACCTTTATGCTGGGGTAGCTCTTTAGATCTCATTTGCTAGCCAATTTAGCCAAATCAATGAGCCCTAGGTTCATTGAGAGATGTCTCAAAATACAAGGGAGAGGACTTGGAAAAGCATTCAATGTCTACAGAACTTATGGTACACATGTGAGGACCTGGGTGCAAATGCCTAGAACCAACATAAAGCTGGGCATAGTGAGAAAACATCTGAAATTCCAATGCTCCTGCAGCTAGTCTGGTAACAAGTGATGAACAGCATACAAACAGGAAACTATGATTCAATCAATGCAGAAGGTGATGAGCAACACTTAAGGTTGTCCTCTGATCTCCACACATGCACCATGGTACACATGTGCGTGTATTAATGTACAAATACACACACACACACACACTCCTTCATATATTATACACACATTTACACATACATCCATAATTCCCTCATACATAAAGAACAGATATAAAAACAATGTAAAGGGTAATTGAATAAGACACCAAATGTTGACTCTGCTTTTCACATAAATGCCGGAATATGTGCAAAAGTTCCAAAGTACACATATGAATACACAACCACACAAACATGTACATGTATCACACTCATGTCAGGAAAGAAATGAAAAGGAAAAGTAAAGAAATTCAGAGGTAAGGAGAACGATAAAGTGGAGGAGAAAAGGATATTAGAAAATAGGACAGAAGATACAAGACAGAGTACAGTCATGGTGTATATGGAGTACTAGGAACTTTGGAAGCTCAGAGTAACACCCAGGGCATCAAAGTATCCAAACCAAAGAGATATTATATAAAGAATATAGTCATCAAAGATGAATAATATGGAGACCTGAGATCATCTCAGTTGAGTCTGTAACATGCCCAAGGTTTCCTTTGTGTTGATTAATGTTCCAATACCCTGACTCATACTTATGTGTTGAGGTGGAAGAAAGAAAAGATTTGAAAAGTTATTTTCAGTAGTTCTCAACTTGTAAGTCTAAATCCCTTTGGGGGTCCAACAATACTGTCCCAGGGGTTTTTATATCAGATACCCTGTATATAAGATATTTACATTATGATTTATAACAGTAGCAAAGGTACAGTTATGAAGTAGCAATGAAAATATTTGGGGGGGGGAGGCACCGCAACTTGAGTAACTGTATTAAAGGGTCACAGAATTAGGAAAGTTGAGAACCACTGCATTGTATTAAAATAAGACCTGCTGGTAAACTAAAAGAAAATATGGCCTCTCCCTGTAGTTCTCTCTATATCTCTGTTTACTTCTCCCTCTAGGTTCATTTAAACTTGACAAAAACAAAGATGACATATCTCTTAAGAAGTGTTGTCACCATCATTGATATATTTTACCAATACACCAAGCAAGATGAAGAATGTGGTACACTGAGCAAGGATGAGCTAAAGGAACTGCTAGAGAAGGAGTTCCGGCCAATTCTGAAGGTATGTGTTAAGTCTGAAGGCTGTCAGGTTTTAAGACCAGATTAGCTAGAACATTCACTCCCCTAGCTGTCTTTGAGAAAACCCCAGTAATAGTCTTTTGGGCTAGGTTATCATAAATCTATTAAGTCAGCATATATATTTTTAAAAGCAGATGTTTCTTCCACACTTTCCTGTGCTCTTCCACCTATACTCCAAGTTCCTCATGCACTCAAGCTTCCCATCTAATATAAATAGATAAATTTGTGCTAACAAATTGATCAATCAATTGACTAATTGATTGGTTGGTTGACTAGTCTAACAAATAGGGAACAATGTTATAGAGGAATGTCATCCAAAGGGGAGTTAACAAAGTGACCAAGATGATATAAAATTTGAAAACAAAGGGTATGAATTATTTTCAAGTACTTAGCAAACACTTAACTAGTGACTTTGACATATTTGAAGGCAGATGTGTTAATGTGTTTACGTGAAAATAAATATATCAGTTACTGAAGTTGGCTTATCCCACTGCTTTCCATATATCATAACTGAGCATGTAACTCTTTCACTTAGCTCCTTAGGATATCTTTTTTCATGGCTCACAATAGTCTTTGTTTTCTAAATAGTCATTTGTTTTCACAAATGCTGTGTCCTATTAATCTAAAGTAATACTCAAATGAATTAAAATCATGTAACATATAGTACACAAATATAATAGGTGCTACTAGGTTATTTTAGCTAAGAATGTGGCTGACCATGTCTTTATTGGTGTATCTTTCATATATAGAATCCAGATGATCCAGACACAGTAGATGTCATCATGCATATGCTGGATCGAGATCATGACCGAAGACTAGACTTTACTGAGTTTATTCTGATGGTATTCAAACTGGCTCTGGCCTGCAACAAGGTTCTTGGAAAAGAATACTGTAAAGCTTCAGGGTCAAAGAAGCATAGGCATGGCCACCAACACCGAGAGGAAGAAAGTGAAACAGAAGAGGAAGAGGAGACACCAAGACAGAAATCAGGTTTCAGATATTCAAGTTGGAGTGAGGGAGAGGAGCATGGACATAGTTCTGGGGGCTCATGGGGACCTAGAAAACATAGACGTGGGTCCAATTCTAGGAGGTTGGATTGGCAAGATGAATTATCCAGCTCAAAGGAATCAAGGAAAAAGCACCATGGGTCTATCTTTAGCCACTCTTGGAGTAGTAACAAAGAGAAACATGGTTCCAAATCTGAAGAGCTAGGAGAAAAAAGAGACAAGTCACATGGTAGCCCCTCTAGAGACCCTGGGGAAGAGTATGAGTCTGGATCTAGGTTAAACCATCAGGGAAGGAAAGGCCATAGTGGATTGTCACATGGATTGGAGAAGAACAAACATGAATCAAATTATACTCAGTCAAGAAAAGGTGAAGAACAAAAGCTTGGATATAGTTCTGCAAGTTCAGGAAACAGTAAGACAGAAAGTCATATATGTGGTTTCAGCAATTCTAGTGGATGTTGCAGACCACAAAATGCTTCAAGTTCTTGTCAGGAAAGTAGGTCAAGGGGACAAGGAAATCAGTCTTGCTGTACCCAGTCAAATTGTCAATCAGGAACCAGTGGAGGACAAGGATATGGATGTGTCTCAGAAGGTCAGTCCTCTAGATGTTATCAACCTAAACCCAGGTCCTGTAGCCAGTCTTCTAGTCAGAGAGGGTATGGATCTAAACAATGTGGTCAACCACAGAACTGTGGAAGGCAACAGAGAATGGGTTCAAGTCACTCTTCTTGCTGTGGACAATATGGGTCTGGAGCAACTCAATCTTCTGGTTGTGGTCAACAGGAAACAAGTTCCTGTGGATATTCTTCAAGCTCTCATCAAAAGGGGTGTAGTTCAAATGAATTTTCCAAAGGTGGTCGGCGTGGGTCTGGTTTAGGGCACTCATCCTGCTGTGAACAACATGGAACAAACTCAACTCAGTCCTCTGGCTGTAAACAACATGGACACGAATCAGGTCAGTCATGCTGTGGCCATCATGGTACTACATCAGGTCAATCTTCAGGTTATAATCAACATGGGGTTGGCTCAGGTCAATCATGTCACTTTGGGCAGCATGGGTCCAGTTCTGGTCAGTCATCTAGTTCTGGTCATCATGGATCTGGCTCAGGTCAGTCATCTAGTCCTAGGCATCACAGGTCAGGCTCAGGTCAGTCATCTGGCCTTGGGGAGCATGGGTCTGGTTCTCATCAGTCACCTAGTTCTGAGTATCATGGATCAGGCTCAGGTCAGTCATCTAGGTCTGAACAGCATGGTGCTGGCTCAGGTCACTCATCTGGCTTTGGGGAACATGAGTCCAGTTCTGGTCACTCACCTAGCTCTGGCCAACACAGTTCAGGCTCAGGTCAGTCATCTGGCTTTGGGCAGCATGAATCCAGTTCTGGTCACTCACCTAGCTCTGGCCAACATGGGTCAGGGTCAGGTCAGTCATCTGGATTTGGGCAGCATGGGTCTGGTTCTGGTCAGTTATCTAGTTCTGGACATCATGGATCTGGATCTTGGCAGCATGGGGCTGGCTCAGGTCAGTCATCTGGGTTTGGGCAGCATGGATCTGGTTCTGGTCACTCACCTAGCTCTGGCCAACATGGGTCAGGGTCAGGTCAGTCATCTAGATTTGGGCAGCATGGGTCTGGTTCTGGTCAGTTATCTAGTTCTGGACATCATGGATCTGGATCTTGGCAGCATGGGACTAGCTCAGGTCAGTCATCTGGATTTGGGGAAAATGAGTCTGCACCTAGTCATTCTTCTAGCTCTTGGCAGCATGGGGCTGGCTCAGGTCAGTCATCTGGCTTTGGGCAGCATGGGTCTGGTCACTCACCTAGCTCTGGACAACACAGGTCAGGCTCAGGTCAGTCATCTGGCTTTGGGCAGCATGAATCTGGTTCAGGTTACTCACCTAGCTCCAGCCAACACAGGTCAGGCTCAGGTCAGTCATCTGGCTTTGGACAGCATGAGTCTGGTTCTGGTCAGTTATCTAGTTCTGGACATCATGGATCTGGATCTTGGCAGCATGGGACTAGCTCAAGTCAGTCATCTGGATTTGGGCAGCATGTGTCTGGTCACTCACCTAGCTCTGGCCAACACAGGTCAGGCTCAGGTCAGTCATCTGGCTTTGGGCAGCATGG